ATTAGTTACCACTGAAAGCTTCTATCTCCTTCAGCTGAATCTGCTTACCATGAGCAAAGTAAGCAAGTGATGCACTTGCTTAGATTCCAGCTCAGTTTAGGGAAAGGGTAGAAATGAAATTGCTCTTGGCCTTGATTAGTGTTGAAAATATTGATCAAATGGTTTATCTGCCAAAAATGAAAGGCTTGTGAGTGTTCTTTGAAGATAGAACATTAGTAAGAATCTGAGGGGATGATTCTATTAAGTTGTTATCAAGGGATGTTTTTGGTATGAACATCAGTGTTTGCTTGAAAAGGCTTTACTAAAAAAAAAATAAAATTTGAAGTGTTGTTTTTCTTGTATATCCACACATCTGTACCTACTTGCCCTTGTGGGTTGGTTGGTAGAGCCCATTTGAGGTACAGATTGTCTAAGAAATGCTGTGGCCGCCCAGCTCTGAAGTCAGCGGTGTCTTGGCCCAGCTGCAGGGGCAGCCCCTACCAAACTGCTGTGCCATCAGAGCTGTCACGGGGCTGGGCAGGACTCGAGGGCAGCATTGCCAAAGTGCCGCCTGTCCAAGGGGCGAGAGGAGCCAGTTTTGGAATTCCAGTGTGTGCCTGGTTGTACTGCTTTGCTGCTGCCCGGACGCAGCAACGTCGGTGGCTTTCCTGCTGTCCTGCTCCTGCCCCCGGGGCCGCTTTTCTCTGACAAACACTTCATGTGGCTAACTTAAAAACTGCCCCAAAATGTCTTTCTCCTCATTGCTTTTATTTAAACACTTCCCTCCATCTTCACTCCCTGCTGCTCAATTTCTGGTCTCTGTCCTCCTTTGCTCTTTACACTGTTGCTCCTTGCCACTGTTTTCCTGCCTTCCCTGCTGCCTCCTGCTGCTACCACAGTGTATCTGTTTTTAGGCTTTGCTGATTGCATTTCCTTTTTTTGTTCTTGTTGGCCTTTATTGCAATAAGCACAACACTGATAGTTTCTTTGTTGACATATGTGGATGAGATACGACAATACATTATTTTACTGAAAATTCTCCTCAAAGGATTATCCCTCCAGGGTGAAATGATTGTTTCCTCTGTTTCAGATTAACCACGCTAGGAAGGAAATATTTCATGCTTCATTACCACCATTAATCTTCCAAGGTGCCCCTCTGAATGAAAATCCATTGTTTTGTTTAACAGAGAGGGACACCAATACAAGTTATCCTGTGTAATTATACTTCTAACAGATGTATCTGTCAGGTTGCTCAGTGTTTGGTAACAAACATCACTGAATATTACATTGCAATGTAAAACACATTCTCAGCGAGGTATGTGGACCTGCAGTTTTTCTGTTAACTCTACTAAAATGTGATGGTACTTCATCTGCTGTAGTACACAGGGAGGTATCTTTACCTTACAAGACCATAGGAGGCTCACCTTTGATGCTTTGTCAGGAACACCTATGGTAACAGAATAGAGTGAAGAGCAGGAGAGGGAGGTGCAGTCCTGAACCCTTTGGACTTGGTAGTAAAAATCCTCTTTTCTGTGGAGATAGGATCAGCAGCATCAAATGTTACCTTTGGATTTGACTTCTAGTTGCTATTGTGGGTAATGGTGACCTGCAGTCAGAGAGGCCATTTCATTTGAGGTGGTAGGAGACTTAATGTTCTTCATGCATCATGCCCCTTCTGGACTCACTGCCTTTGGAAAGCAACACTTTATGTTCTGCAGCAAAAGAAATATTAATTTGCAGATGCTGCTTGCTCATTTCTTTAGGTACTCAAGTGGTTCTGTGAACGCTTTGCATGAATTCATATCTAGGATGTGCCAAACTCATTTTATTTCTAGCTATGATTTATAATTTCATCCTTTCCTTTTTCAACCAAGAATACTCAGGTGTAGGAGAACATTGCAAGGCCGAGGAGCTCAGGAGGCAACGAGCCAGTGTGTTTCATTAGCTGTCTGTGCTGCCCAGTGAGGATTGCACAGTCTTGTCAGTGCTGCTGCATCTTCTAGGGTCTTGTTATTTATTGGCCGTAAAGCAAATCAAAGTACTCCTTTGCCACTGACATGGAAGGGAGGGCTTTGAACCAAGTGTTTTGCCTCTTACATCTTTTCTTGTGATACATTTTGAGATTTTTTAAATTCTTATACAGGAGTTGTCACTTACACTGTGTTTTTACAGTGCTTAGCAACTTTCAAGCTGATCTAAGAATTACTAAATAATAATTATACCCTTCCTTTCTATTCTGCTCTTTCTGTTCCATTTGCTCCCACATGTACTCATCATGCTCCTACAGTTTCCAAGTCAAATATTAATAAGCTCATACATGCTGGAATTAAGTTTGCCCATACTTAATTTAGTTTCATTATGCATTACAGCATAGCTAACATGCCATTAGCAGCCACTGAAGTGTTTCTTTGCATCACAACTGCCTCTTAACCTCTGCTCCTAGCCAGCTCCCCAGAACATCAGGATTCTTCTTTTTGTTCCTATGAGTGGAGGCAGGAGATTGGGGAGCACAGGAGTGATAGGTCCCTGTTCTCATGTTCTGTGTACCAATCACAGCAGTCCTCACACTGGAAAAAGAAGGCAGAACCTTTTACATGCTGTGATAAAGCTTGTCAAAGTGCACAGATCTTAATCTCCATACCCTTTTCAGGTACTCCAAAATAGACATGTTCTAGAGACTTTTAAAAATACAGCTATGAAAATATTTTAAAGTGTTCTTAACTATAGGAATCACTACTTTTATTTAGAAAGGAAGGTTTGTATTTCTGTGTAAATGCTTTTCCTGAAGCTTAGTATTTGCAACCTATCCCTTTGGAATCCGAGATTTACACATCTGCAGATTAATCACACTGCTTGATATGGATGTTATTATTATAAACCATGAAAAAATTAAACTTGAAAATGATTTTGACAAATTGGTTAGATGCCTGCTTCCTCTACTCTGCACACTCAGGGTAATGGATTCTGGTGCTCACAGAGAGATGAATTTTAAATTAGTGTGAATACCTGGGTTCATAAGGAACTGTGCATCAATTTTAAATCTCAGCTGGAAAGCAAAATGCATGTTAGTCATTTTTGTCTCTGATATCAAAAAGATTTCAATCTCTTTCAAGTATCTTTCCTTTCCCGTATTTAGAAAGCAGGTTACCTTTTCCAAAACTTCTGAAACAGGTTAGCACTAGTTACTATGAAAAGGGAAAAATCCCACTGATGATTTTTATTTTTCAATATATCCAGCTCTTGTCTCCAGTAGTGGTTTCATGACACAAAGCAAAATCTAGAGATTCTTAAAAGGCTTGAATACAAATAATGATTTCTGATAATGACTACAGGAGTGATTGTCTTTACTGGAGTTTTAATGAGGGTCAATGAGGTTAGACTGGAGACTACAACTTAAAAAAGGAAATTCAGGAAATTTACTCTTTCAGTCTGTAGGATATTTTTAGGGAAGATGAGGAATCCTGCATTGTCACTCAATGGCCCAACATAGGGAAAAGGGAAGATTATATCTGCTGAAGTCTCAAGCAAGATATGATCCCTTTTCCTTTTTACAAAGAGAACTCCCCACTGGTTTCAGGAAGTTCTGCCCAAATTGGTTGGAGTCTGTCTCTAAATCAGTCCAGTCATGGGGCTGAGTGGGTTTCCACTGGGCAGTGGCATAAGAGATCTCTGTTGGTTGGTAGGAGTTTTGATGTGAAGCGTCCTGGGAGGAAAAAACCTTTAAAATGAACCAGATACCCAAAACAGTCATGAGATGGTACTGCATAAATCTAAACATTAAACCTGTAAGTATTCACAGAAGCAGTTGTGACATTCATGTGATGCTCCCTAATTATTGTGTTCTAGTGGTGCCTTCCATTAGTCTGGTGTCCAGAATGTGGCACTTTCCAGGTCCAGGGTAAGTTTTGTTCCACGGGAGCAGACTGCTCCTGACTCGCCCTGGAAGGGGTGTAGCACAGAGGCTGCTACATGAGGGTGTGCTCATCCATATGGTGAGCCAACATGCAGGCATATGGGATGGGAACTCTGGATTTGTCTTCGTCTGAGTTCCCAGGAAAACAGGTAGGAATCACATCTTGGGCTCCCCCTGAGGTGAGGAACTCTTATTTTCGGAGGCTTTTCTTAGGAACTTTTGCTGTGTACTTGTGTAAAGATCAGGTGTGCTCTGGCCTGGGCTGATAAATTCATCAAGGTAAGAAGGATACTTTTCCAGTGCTTAGTAATTCCCTCTTTTCATATTATGAAATTAGTTTATGCCTAGTTTTGTGAACTTGCTCATAATTTCTCAAGGTAGACATAAAGTTTGGCTCTGTCTAAAAGTAGGTTAGTAGTACACTTTTTCCTGGTGGAAAAGAGAAGCCATAAAACATACTGCTAGAGAATTATTATCACTTCATGGCACCCAACCTATACTTGGTGCCCACAGATTATGGAGGCAGATTACGGTTTTGTTTTGTAATCTCCAAATCTAATGGAAGCTCAAAGATGCTCCTGAACTGACCATAGAAAGGAAAGTGCTATATTTTTGTTGTTGTTGTTTGGAAAGGCTGAGGAAAAGATTAAGAAATTAAATTCTCATCTTTGTCACCCAAGGAAAAATATTCAGGCCTTCCAGTGTCTATTGCAAAAAACATTGCCTGAGGATGTAATATAAAGAGCAGAGTGTAAAGTCCCAGCACTGTTGCAAAGACTGATGTGACCATCAGTTTCCTGCTGCACAACTCTGCTGTTGCATTTTGCAACAATGTTTTAAAAATATTTTTCCCCTTTATTTATTTAACACTAATGTTCTTTCATGTAAAAATAAGGTCTGGGACTACAAGGAATCCAAGTATTCTGTTCAAGGCTAGAGTTAGTCTTTGCTGCATTTATTTAATTTTAATTTGTTCTTCTGTGTAGAATGAGCTCCTTTGTTATCTTTTTTTTTTTTTTTTTTCCCCACTGATCATATGACCAAAAAGTTCTTGTCGTGGAGGGGTCGGGTCCCAAGATATCATTTTGGAACAAAAGTCTTCTTGGGCAGTCTGCAGCCCAGGAGCCAACTGGCAATGGGCATTTTACAAATATAAAACACTGTGAATGAAAGGTGTTAGACTATATTATGCAATATATCCCAGCAGTATCAGTTTCATTATTTTCAGATAACATCATTGTCTTTTTTATTAGATATTTAAGTAGCCACATGAAGCTTCCCATCCTCCTGCTGTGCTTCATTCAGTCAGGCCAGAAGAAATGCAGTGAGTGCAGAGTACAGGGATTGTCCATGTATCCCTTTTGCCTCCTCCTTCAGTAGACCTTGCAGGGATCTCCTCTGGCTCTTCTCACAGTAAAAGAGAGGTGGAGAAGATATTTTCCTTACAAAACAATGAATTAAGACAGAGAAATATCAGCATGGAAGTTCAGTAGCTGGGCTGAGTTCTTTCCTCCCACATAGGAGCCGGACTATGGACAAGAGCCTTTTTCCACCTCAAAGTGAACCTGAAGGAAAATACTCAGAATGGTTTAGGGCAGATTTGTAGAGGTCTTTGGAGCCTTTAGTCAGCTATTTCCCTTTGCAACCATGTCTCACCTACATCAGAACTATATCATGATGAAATCCCAGGTTGCTCATGCTTCTGACCAGGTGCTTCTGCATCACCAAAAATCCTCTCACCTCAACATTTCTGAAAGAACCCCTGGAACATCCTGGTGATACTGCACCCAGGTGTTCCATACCAACAGCCAGTTGCTTTCCTGCTGCTGCCACATATTGAAGAGAGTTTATGACCCTTTCTTGAAGAAAGAAAAATTACAAAATCCTGTGCTTTGAAGGGAAGTGATTTTTGTCCCCTGAGACAAAGCTCCCAAAGGCTCAAGTTGAATACTTGCATTACAGGTAGAACCTGCAAGGTCTTCCACATTTTTCTTCCACACTGAAGTTCCTAGGCAGTATCTGGGTGCTGTGAATTTGACAGGAATACAAATAAATTAGAACTCCAATTATTCCTTCTTCTTGAGATAATTTCTAAATAGATTTGTTCATAAATGGCAAATGGAAAGAAAGCATTTAAATGGTTTCATGTAGCTTAGTTTAGGATATTCCCTAGCAATCATCTTAGATTTATACACCTATATTTTATTTCAAAGAAAATTGATTTCTGGATTATCATATTAACCAAAATTAAAGCAGAGAGAATATAAATGTGGTCATGACATCCCTGCAGCATAGAAGTCTAATATTGCCACATGGAAAAGATAATGTGAAATTGAAATGTTGTGTGTAACCTTTTGTCAAAGCCCTGAATAAAGTGACTCTTTAATTATCAGCAGTTCAACTCTTTTAGAATAGCAGATTTGGAGAGCCCAAAACATACAAACCTCCAACTAGCTTTTGTTAGGCAATCTTTTATTATTTTTACATTGTTGCGCGGGGAAATTGTGGCACAACAAAATGCGTGTATGTTGCATGTTTACCTATATTTTACTAATTTCGGGTTTTCTTCTTTATCTCATTCTTTTAATTTCCTGTTATTGTACCTGTGAGCCCCTTACGTACCTCTCTGGGTGCCCAGAAGAGTTATTCCTCTGACGGGGACTGTGGTTCTCACTTTCCATGGGCCTGTGGACATCACCAAATGCAAATCTGTATCTTCACAGCCCTTGCTGAAAACGGCAAAAATAGCAATTCTCCCTTTCCCCTCCATTGCATTGTCTAACAGCGTGATCCATCTTCTGTGGATATTAATAGCAGCTTATACTGATTTTAATGGAAACGGATCCTGTCAATAGCAGGGAATCGGGCAGAGCTGAAGGGAGTGGGCAGCAAACACCCGGGGGCAGGGAGAGAGCAAAGCAGCAGCTCCTTCTCTGACTGTGTGCAGGGGACAGGGCCCAGCTGGGTGACAGCAGAGCTGCCCTTTGCATTGGCCTTTGAGCCCCAATTCCTGCCTGAGCAGCAGCCTGGGCATAGCCAGGCTGATCTTGCTCCTCTCCAGAGTTTAATGTGGTATGTGCCCAGGAAAGTGGGAGCCGAGGCTGAGCTTCTTAGCTCCTTTTTCCAGTACTGCTGCATTCCAAGATTCCCCTCAAGTGGGAGTCGACCACCTCCTCCTCTCTAGGAGGTCTCAGAGGGGTTTTGGGGAATTGGTTCAGTTCTTACCCCAAAACTCTGTAGAGCTTAGTTCTGCTCTGTTACCGGCTCTCTCTCTCCTCTCAGACATCTCTCTGTGTCTCTGCTAATTGCATGCTCTTTGCTGCTTCCCTCTTATCTCTTGGCTTTCAGCCATAGCCTGATAGTAGGTGGGATGGTTTCCCACAGTGCTCCATTGGGAAAACTCTCCCTTCCTAGTGCAGGCAGCGTTTTGGAGATGCTTCCCACTTGTCCTCCTGCTCCTCTGCCTTCTGAGAACAGTTGTTCAGCTTCACAATGCTTTTGCTGTGCAATCTTAGAGCACTAGAACCTTTTGTTACTAGAACCTTTTCATTTGTGTAAAAAGGTACCAACACATTTTTGAAGTGAGACTGGCAGTGAGATGTAATTAAATGATTGACAAGATGCTTTGAAATCCTTCAAAAGAAGATGCCTTTGTATAATTAATAAACAGTATGGTTCATATTCTCCTGCATCTTTAGAGAATCTGTGGAAACAGGTAGAAGGGCAAGAAATGGATGAGGATTTTCTTGTAAAATATCTCTATCTTTGAGTGCATCTCTTATTTTACTTTTGCCAGTTATCTGCAACAGGTTCCTCATTACAAGTGCATGAGCAGGCCCTGCTGATACTCTCTCCAGTCTGTCTGCCTTGTACTTTGGCTGGAGTCTGATCACAGATTTTTCAGACTGTTTGCTGATTCTTTGTTGGATTTTTGTGAAGACAACTTAGGGTTTCCTCCTTGTTCAAATTAATTTTTGTTCTTGTTTTGATCTTGCTTTCTTATATTCTTTTTTTCTGACAGACATGACTCAGAATGTAGACAATTGACTTTTTAAAATGCGTTTCAGTGTCATAATCTCTTTTTTGGCAGTCTATGTGCTGACATATTTTTGCCTCATAATGGGGTAGCATTTACATATATTTTTCATATATTAGTTTTCTAATTCTTGGTCTTTTGTGAATTATCCATTTTCTATGCTTTTAAATAATTAACTTGTTATATATACAGTAATAAGCTTTGTAAAACATCCATATTCAGTGAATCGTAGTAGTTTTAAGAGAATGTACTATTTACAGTGCAGCAGTTGTACGAGGAACAGAACCTTTACAAGCAACAGACAAAAGGAAAACAGAACCAAGATATTTGGTAGCTGCAGTAAGAGCTGTAAACACTTAGCAAACTATCAAAGCTTTCTTTAAACTCAGAAAAACTAGCAACTAAATGAAGTACAGAAAAATAACCCCCCAAACCTTCCTGGATGGGACATACCAGAAAAGAACAGGATGTAATGTAGTCTTTTGATATAGAAAAGCAAGCAGATAAGGTATCTCTAGGACAAAATAGGACAGAATTATTTCTGAAATATATGTGTGGCTTTCACAGAGCTGTTGTTTTGCATCTGCTCTGTTCTCCCCACTGCCTGTTGGGAATGGTCTCTGGCACAGCTGTTCTTTGGATTGTACCCTTGCAGTTTGAGAAACTGTGACTTGGCACAAGGCAGGAAGGGGCTGAGGAGCAAGCAAACTGTTGGGCAAATGTCTTCCCAGCTGGCCAGTGCCTGGGCTCATTTCCTGGACCTGTTTTAATTAGGAGCAGAGATGAGAGCACTGGGATCCCCTGCTCAGCGTGTCCCTGGATTGCCGAGTGCTGCTCAGCCTTTGCATCACCAAGTAACTGGTTCCATGACTTATGACAAAGCCCCAGTTCACCACTTCTGTCCACTAGCACTCCGAGTCTTACTCTTAACTTTCAGAATGAGTTGAATTAAAACCAACCAACCAACCAACCAAAAAACCCCACAAGCAAAGCCAAACAAAGTGCAGAAAGTGATTTTGAAAAATCAGTTTTGGATTGACTTCTATTTTTTACATATGTGATTTAGTTCAAACTGGATTAGAGATGTGATTTCTTGGCCTCTTTGAACTCAGTGGAAGTTTTACTTTGAGCCTTTGGATATGAACTTTTAAGGCAAAAAGTGAAATCAGTGCTAGTTGATCCCATGGAGTCTATGGGTCTGAAATGAGCCTTCCCCTTGTGCTTTTTTATGACTACTCATAGCACTGTAATAAATGACTTCTACAGACTCAATATTTGTGTTAAAATAGGGCTCTTATTTTATCAGAACAGTAAGGAACAATCTCGGATGAAATATTAGAGTTTTTATGCTCGGAATTGAGAGCAAACCCAGGATTTTAACTGGTGGGGGGTAGGATTACTCCATTCATTTTTCTGTCCTGCTGTTCCTGTTGTTATGGCACTAGGGGAATTAAAGTCTAAGGCATTGTTATATTTTTTCATAGGAAAAACAAATTAACAGGTTTGCCTCAGAAGTCTTAAGTAATCAATACCTGATTATATGAAACATGATTTATAATTTGAAAGCTGTAACTTGTTTGTGTAATCTAACCAGCCTCATTTTGTTTCTTGTGGGATAGCCCAACAAGTTAATCACACTTCCTCTTCACATCTGAGTTGAATATTCTACACTATTTGGAACCTGGCCTCAGTGAAATTAGCATCACTTCTAAATAATCTCTCCCAATAATTCTGAGATTATCTCAGGGGACTTCTGCAGAATTGCCCTTATTTTCATAGTTTTAGAGCTCTCATATCTAAAGTCTGAGCATCTTCTGGTACTTTTCCTTATATATCATATGGGAAGATTTACAGTGGAGGTGTTTGTAGACAATTCAATAGGAAGTGCAGAACAGCAACTTCTCCAGAGAGTGAAAAAAAACCCCTTTATTTGAAGACTCTGATAGCACTCAACAATACATCTTCCATTTATTTTCTAAACCTAATGTATTGTTCCTCTCTTCAGGGTCAAATTTTGTAGTTCTTTCACATATAAAGCTTTCTTTGATCTGGAAAGATGAATAACAGTTGCAAAATATCTTCACCTCTGATCTCCTTGGCTACAGATTTCCTAATTATTTGTCTCATTCCTTTCTACTTTGTAATTACCAAGAGTTGCCTCATCATGTGCTATTTCATCAGATGCTTTTTTAAGCTAATCTATAACAGCACAAATATAAAATATTATGGCAGGTGCTGCATTTACCAGTCAGTAATTAACTCCTCTTCAAGACTAATTACATCCAGGTTTTGTACGTCACTTCTTGTCATGGCATGGTATGGAGACACTGGAGGAGAGCAAGATGAAAAAAAAGAAAATAAAAATAATAATAATAATAAAAACCCCACATCAAAGAGTAGGGGAGAAAAGTGTGCTTGATCTTCCTTGGCAAGCCTTTAGGCACAAACACATTCCTGGGAAATGGAGCAACCCAGTGAGAACAAGGCAGTGCAGTGAGCAGGGAAGGCCTTTCCCAGGTTCCCACCTCACAGTGAGCCAGAGTAAGGAAAGGAAAGGACAGCTGATCAGGGAATAGATCCATGCACCAGCCACAGAAAAATGCTGAAGGATATCTTGTGCTCAGGGAAATTTCCAGGGAAGTGACAGCATGGCCAGAATTACAATCCAGCCCCAAGTCTTGCTTTTTTCATGGACATGACAAAACTACATAGACATCATATAGGTCTCTGTTCTGTTAATTAACAGTTTTATAGTACATCTGAGGGACCATAGACTGGCAGAACTGCCTAACTCACTTCCACTTATGCAGAAATGTATTGCTATTTCAGATAAATGATCCAGAAGTAGTAATTATGTTTTTATAATAGTTTTTGATGAGATATCAGCTCTCTGTCAAAGAGTAATTTGTATGACAAGATACAGATAGAAACAAGACTGTGACTTGAATACAATTTCTTAAACAAAGACCATGGCACTCCTCAGCTCACTGCAGCCTCTGCTGCTTTTTACCATGAGTATCTTTTGTTCATAATTAATGCAGTTTGAGGGTCTTTTTTTTGTTGTTTTTCTAAATAGATTAATTTTTCTGAAAATGAACTGAGACCCATGCAAAATCCTTTTACATTTACTTAGGACATGAAAATATATACAATAAATTTTAGTAGACTTCTTGCCTACTTGTTACACTGTCAATGTTCGCTTAGGCAAAATGGGCAGGCAAAGCTGGATAACCACCATAAAAATACTTCTGCCATTATTCATTTGGATGGAAAATGTAGTTCAAGTTGTATTTGTTTAACTCCTGCAAACATTTGGAAATTGTGTTTTAATCACCTAAAGGTTTGCAGAATCTGAACTTTAAATAGGCACATTTAAAATGTTCAGGTGCTTGGATGATATTTAAGTTATATAGAATGCAGAAATACTTGTCAGCATGGGATTACTAAATTGCTGTGCCAGAGCAAAGACACAAACCCAATTAAATGGATTGGATCAATACTTGACAGCTCCTTGTACATCCTGAGTGATGACAGGACAAGGGGGAATGACTTCAAACTGAAAGACTGTAGGTTTAGATAAGATATTAGGAAGAAACCCTTCCCTGTGAGCGTGGTGAGGCACTGGAACAGGTTTCTCAGAAAAACAGTGGGTGTCCCATCCCTGGAGGTGTTCAAGGCCAGGTTGGATGGGGCTCTGAGCAACCTGGTCTAGTGAAAGGTGTCCCTGCCGTGGTTGGAACCAGATGATCATCAGGGTTCCTTCCAACCCAAACCATCCTACGAACATGCAAAATTGTTACTTAGGGTGCATGTAAAGAGAGAAATATAAGTGCAAACTCTACAACCACGAAGGAGGTCCTTCTGTGTGATACCCCTAGAAATGATTTATCAGGAAAGGAAAATAGGGGAGAAGGGTCTATAGACTGTAACAAGAATGATTATAGAATAGTGAAAATACCTAGATTTCTTGTTTGTCTACTTCCAGATTTTTAAAGTGTTCAATTGCAAGAAAAATGCCCAAAATCTTTGTCAGATTGGCATTTGTTTTTGGAGAGAAATATGTGAAATTAAGTACATGCCATTAAATTCCACTTAAGCTTAGCGTGCACTACTGAGGCGAGCTGTGTGGTGGAGGGAAATGGAACAACTGGAGCCATGATGCTGAGAACACTTTGCCCACACTACACATATTTCATAAATTTAACTTCGGTCTTCGGTTTTACCCTGGTCT